ATTTATCTTTGGTCATAGTTTGGCACAAAACTAATGAACACATGCCACATTTTTAAACAAGGAGACATAAAATAGGAGTTCCTCTGCATACCACACAAACTTAAAGCCATCCTCTCATAAAAAACATTAAATATTCTTGGCCAGAACAGGCTAGAAAGCACGTAGACACTGTCACTAGCACACTCTGATTTCCATATAGAGCTTGGCAACATTAAGAAGCATAAAACATCATGGTTTATCTGTAGCTAATTATAACTGATTATCAGAAGGGAGCTGTGTTTGAGTAGAGGTACCTTGAGAGCTGCCCCAGGACACTTACCAGGCTCAAGACTATTCAATATTTTCCTCAAAGATGTAGAAGTGTGTATAAACTCACTGCTGATTATATCGTGGAGAACACAAAAGCTGGCACTATGATGAACTAAAGAACTGGGCCATCACAAAGGAGTTCTGGAATAGCTGGTACATTATACTGCTCACAATGATTATTATTTTTTTTATAGCCAAATCTCAGATTATACATCCAGGAAAAGAACACAAAGCTGCACCTTGAGCACTGGGGAAAGAGCTGACTGAAAAACTACTGACTCTAAAAAAGGCATCGGGATTGTAATGGACAAGGAATTGAACACAAGATCCCAACTTACCACTTGTCACAAAATGCAACATGAGTCTCGGAAGCACATTAACAGTGTACAAAGAAAGAGGGGATTTCACCCATACGTAGATCACTGAAAAAAACCCAAACAACATAAAAGGGAATTTATCTCCTTCTTAAAAGATTACAAATATGTGAAGTGACTAAGGAAGACAGGCATAACACAAGATTTCAGGAAGTCAATCCATGCATTTCATCAAAAAATATTAAGGCCACACTTACCTTTCCCCCCCTCTCCCTCCCCCAAGTTTTAAATGCATTCCCAGCAAGAAAATACAACCTAGGACCATCCTCTTTCGCAGAGCCATCCCTTCTTCTGCAAGTGAAAGCTGAAGTCAAATCCTGATCACCAGACAGACTTGCACTTTTGAAAGCAGGACTACTAGCTATTGGTACACACTATCAAAAGAAAACATTTTATGCCCTTTTCAAGAGCAAGTGCCTTTCTCTAGCATAAAAGCCTTCACAGGAGGTCACACCAGATAAAGGGTGTCAAACTCTTACCTAGACTGCTAATATAAAGTGGGAAGGGACACTTCACCAGATGCCAAATCTCAGCTGATAAAGGGCTTTATGTAGTTTCTGCCTTTATACTGAGCAATGCAAAAGCTTACACATCTTACAATGACTCCCCTCAGCATGCTATTTACCTCCATCTTCCTTAGCATGCCAGAGACCTGACAACCTCCAACAGATTTCTTCCCACTCAGACTTCCAGAAGCCATCCTGCTATAACCATTAGAGAGGTATGACTGACACAGAATCAAAAGCCTGAGATTCAAGGGCAGTATCTAACAAGTATTACATGTCTGTGACCTACGTACCAGAAAGACTTTAGAACTTCTCCCACTGAAAGGGCCTCAAAGATTCCTGCCATGAACTAACAAAAAAAGTCTATATTCCTCATCCTTCATGATAATGACAGACAACACAATACACTTCCACAATAGCACAGTTCTCATTAGAACATACAAATTACAAGCCAATTCCTATATTCACTATTTTTCCCTAGCTTCTTTCAAAGTAATAGTACCAATAATGCAAAACCAGAATTCTCTTCCCCCAGAGTGTCAACCAAGTCATTGTGGAGTATACCACTTACCGAAATTGACAATTTTCTGCAGATGCCTGCAGCAAAACTATGCCAGAAATAGATAACCCAGCATGCACATTTGGAAAAAAGATCTTAAGGTTTCTGGTTACTATTCTGTCAAGTACAGTTTATGACTGAAACTAAAACTGTCATGCTCTTCAGCTTTAAACAATGAGATACAGATTTAGAATAAATATACATATTTTAAATGACCACATATCAAGCACTGAGGCAGCATGAGGACTTGTGAAATTCATCATGATAGCAAAGCTGCTGCAGTTCTGTATTTCCAAGTTTTCCAGCCAAAGGTTTAAACAACAGATACTGCTTACCACCTACATTCTGTGACTGCAATTTTAGAAGATGATTGCACTTAGTGCTCTTCTTAGGAGCAGAAGGTGTCAGTCTAGTTTGTTTCAGGCTTCCACTGAAATAATGAAAAAAGGCTTTAATGAAAAAAGCCTATCATCTAACCTGCTACTCCCCAGAAACTTGGAAGTGAAGAGAGAATACACAACAAATTTCTTATGCCAACCATTGAATAATGAACCCCTTTGTAATACAAACACATACATTCTGGAAGCAGAAAAACTTTCAAAAGTGCATACTTGTTAAACGCCAACCCCCTTCTCTCTCTTTTTAATAGATATGAACATGAGACTTCATTAAACAGATTCTGTAACATTAAACAGATTAAACAATGTGCTTAGCTTCATACTAACTTGAAAGAACAGATTTCATGACCTAAAGAATTTTCAAAACCAGAATAAATAAGTATGGCCCATTTTTTATCAGGATAAACATGCGGGTCGTTCTGCTGTATGTGTTTACAGCTACATAAATACAAATACGGACCATGGAGAGAACACATTAACTGATGAAACCAGATGCAGCAATGCAGACAGGTCCTAACACAGATGGAGGCAGTCTGCAACACGAATCTCAACAGCACTCAACACCCTTTGACTCTGCCACGGTGTAAAACAAATAGAAGAAACTACAGCAGCAGAGAAAGGGTTCTGTATACTGTCCTGGACTTACACAACACAAATTATTAGCACTGCATATAATCGTGATTCTAAAACCAGTAAGTGCCTTTTGGCACCATTTCAATCTTTTGCTCTCCGCTGTCCAATTTCACAGATTCAAACACATTACATGTTCAATCCCGCAAAATCTACCACAGACTAGAAATAAGTATTTTTTTAATAAAAGCCAGTGGTGTGCTACAAAGCATGAGACTTAAAAATACCAATATATTCTAATTAAAACACTTTGTGTGTAAGGAAAAAGCTGGAATCATATACACAAATTTGTAGTACTTTGGGCTTTCTGTTAATGAAACTAATTCTTTTTCACACAAGAAACATTAATAGCTCTCAAGTAGGACAGTGCATAGAAGCCCAAGACAATTATATAATTAGTCATTTTTAGACAGAATGTTATGTTACACAGTACTGCATTGAACAATGACAGTCTCTCGAGCAAGTCAGTATTTTGATCCATATTATATGCATATTTATACTGCCCAACCAGCTTTATGAACCATTAGGAAATTTCGACACTAGGACTCCACTGTATCAAAACACATATTCTGTTAAATTAACAGAATGTCCAGTAGCAACACTACATTTAAATGTATCACTTGATCTTCACCAGAAATAACTAGTTAAAACTAACCAGTTGTCTGCTCTTTTCCAAAAGGAGCTGCTGCAGTGCCGTTAGGTGAGACTTCAATGATTACAGCTAAGAAAGCCTATAGCCTGCTCTCAGAGCGCAGACTATGGAAGAGTCCTTGACTACTAAACCCACATACCATTCCCACTCTTCTCCCTGACATTTAACTACCTGCCAATAGGCTTTGAATTTATTTTTACTCCCTTTTTTAATGTCTTTCTTTTTCCCCAAAGGGAGAAGGCTTGCGAGTAAAAGCTTGAAATTAGAGTGCTATAATTAATACTCTTACAATATTTATATACAATTTATCTACTGTAACTATAATACACAGTATTTATACAGCACCAATTTATCATTTTAGTATATGTAAAGAGATAACATGGTAACTAGGGAAAACAAAGTATGTTTACAGCACTTCGACAAATGAACTAGCTTTCACTTAATCGACAGAACATGAAAAGGTGAAATCGGTGTTGATTTATGGTTGCAAAAATAAAATCCTACACATACAAGTAATATAAACACACTTTGCAGTTGCTTAAGGCAGACAGAATTAAATAATCAACACATACTCATTCACTCAAGTCATCAATTTTACAAGCGCAAGTGTTGCTTGCATCTGTTCAGACTAAATGTAAATCAGCCACAGTTTTAGCCAAGAAGTTACTATGACTCTCACCTCTCCTATTTCCTAATCTTTTTTCTGATCACCTTGTTTGAAGTTATTCAAATTTCCATATGTAAGAGCTATAGTACCATCTATTTCTTCAGACACACTGAAGAAAGGAAAAAGAAACATTCTTCAGAAACAAGTTCTCAAACAGAACCAGTAAGTATTTACCACAGTCGTGGTTTAATCCTGCTTCCCCCATAAATCCTGCTTCCTTACCAGGGTGGGGCAAGAGAGACTACCTGATAGATGTCATCTGTCTTGACAAATACCGTCATACCTCAGATAGATCTGCCACAGCCGTACTTGATCAAAGGAATGCAAAACAATAGTTCCCTCTTAATTTCTTTGCTTTTTCACTTCAGTTTTTTTTTATAACATGTGAAACTATATGAAATTTGACAAAGCACTAATATTCTCAAGAAAGAGCAAGTATTAAGAAGTGTATAGCAGGAACTAGTTACCATTTAAGTGAATGAGAATTTGAGTATTTTATACCCATAAACAAGAACCAAAGATTTCAGAGAGAAGTGACAAAGTAAAAATGAGAATACTGCTTACACAAAGTAGAAAGTAAATTTGTGGAACACTACTTCTATAAACACAATAAAGTCCAGATCACCATCCCTCATTTGGATTAGTATTTATACAATTGCTTGGAAAATAATGCAGAAAGACCATTCAGGGTCATCTCAAGAGGAACTCACATACTGCTGTAAATACTTCTAGAACATAGTAATAGCTGCCATGGTTTCCTCAACTGCTGGCCTGAGGACCACCTTTCTCACCCATCCAAAGATATACAATTAGCTACAACCAAGCATCCAGCTTTCAAGTCATTGATTAGGATAATGCTATAGTTCTCTTGGACTTGTGTCAATACAATAAAGAAGACAGACTACTTGAAAGATAAATCAGACATCTTTTAATTTAGAGTAACCAAATGTAAACCCAGTTGCCCAACAAGACTAGACAGTGCTAATAACCATTTACATCAATCACCACATTAAAGGGATTTGTAGCAAGAGGAAAGTGATGCCATCCTTGTACATATGGGACTGGAAAAACATCACTGCTCCTACCTGTTAGTGCAGGTTTATAGGGCAGCAAACCTACTGGGGTGGAAACAGCTTGCATACATTTCAGAACCTCATTCAACTCAAACAGCTCTATCCTGAGGCATCCTCTGGGATACCAGTTGAGTGAACTCCAGTTTCATATCTTGTGTCATGTGAAATAGTAAACATGTTCAGAATTAGTGAAACCACAAAAGACAACTTCACTTCAAAACAGAATGATAACTTCTGCAGCTTACTCTAGATTTTATGTATTTTATTGCAAGTGCATGACAAGTCCCCATTTTGGCCAGAACTTGCAGTTCTACACTTGTCTTCATTTTAACATTTAAATGCACATCCAGGTCAATCTATTGGAATACTCAGGATTGGGTACCTTCCACGAAATTACTGTATAAAAGGATGCAGCAGATAGTCTTCTTCCTTTAGTCTCTGTTTTGTGTAAAGTGCTGATGAGCCCTGATTTCCCACGGCTGTGTCTCTTCATGGGGACTTCAGTATCCTTTCCTTCCTCTGAATCTTGCCCTAGTATCCAACTGAAAATTGAAATCAACATATTAAAAACATGCATTTTGCAAAAGAAATGCTTTAGAGTGCTTGTGAAGTCTTGGCACTTCATAACATCAGAACAAAGCCCAAAATACAGCAGAATTTACTGTAAAGAAAATTAGTGATGTAGCCAACAAATCATGGGGTTCTTCCAATGAAAAAGACATTGTATTACCTGGAATTTCACTCAAAATTAAAAATATGTGATATGCATTCTCTGTAATAACACAAATGACGGAACATCATAGTGGGGTGGCAAGGAACATGGAAAAACAAGGTAGTGTCCATCTGCTTAGATCTCTTTTTCCAAACTTAACTGATAAGCTGAAGGAGCAAAATTCAGATTGGGTTGAAGTGGGAATCACTGCAAATGTCAGTGAGGAAAAGGGTAACTTAAATACAAGAAGTTTCTAGGGGGAAAAAAAGCCCAACAAAACACCAAACCACAGTAAAAAGTGAAATAATATTCAACTTGTGAAATCTGTGGGTTTATTCTTGGCAGTTACAAAAAAGCCATTTAATGGAAGCAAAAAATTGCAGTAAAGCTAAAATAAAAGCTACAGAGCGCACTTACACAAGCTAAACTGCAAGTTCTTTGCCAGTGCAGCAGAAAAACATATTTTGATCTTGGGAAAATTCTTCTGACTTTAGTCAGTCTTGTAGACAGCAGCTTCAGACCGCAATTCAGCTGTAATCAATCTAATATCTGAGGGTGGGTATTTTACCTCCATTAACTAACCTTCCTTCAGAATTCCAGCAAAATTTGTAAAGAGCTAAACTACATGATGACACAGCTTGTCCAAGACAAGCAGCTTCCACTCTAAACCTTAATCCTACTTTAACATCTAAAATAGTAGGGAAATAAACTTCAGTACAAGACATTACATTTCCTTAGAAAGAAAACAGAATCTAGGTAAACCCCCTAATGGTTTTAGCATACTATAAATTACATCTGCATTTAGCATCTAACTTGGTTTTGGATACTCTCAGCCTTACTATTATGCCAAGTATCAAATGCGGCAGAGCAGGATTATTGAAATTTACAGAGGTCACAGGGCAAGAAAAACGTCACTCATCAGCCTTAGAATTTGGAGCAGTTAAACACAACCATGTAAGAGCCAGGCCTCTTCCTGCATGACAGGAGACACTTGGCTAGAAACTTAGTTTCACCAGGTTCCCTTCGCAATCTACAGACAGAAATACAGGCACATCATGTAATGGTATCACTGCTGCAACATATACATATATATATATATATATCTCAAATATATATTTCAAGCATTAAATACACAGAGTTTTTTTCCTGTCCACAGAAATAATAATAACTTGTCACTATGTATTAATACAGTTTATATATGAGGGGTACGAAATGCTGCTACAACTTTAACAAAAATACAGAATGGAAGAAAAATTTTAGGTACCATTTTAGCTGCATGTTCTTCATTATGCACCACACTGCCTACAAATAAAAGTGAGCCCAGAACTACTTATGCTTAGAAAGTTTTGATACTATCTTTACAACATCCTAACCCCTTTTTAAATGTTGTGGAAACAACCAACATGTTTCTGGATAAAATAGGGGAAACTTTATCTAATTACATTTTTAAAACTGTCTTCACACTATCATACTTAACAGCTCACTGTTAAAAAAAAACCCAAACTGTTACTTATTATGAACTCCAGTCCTCTAAGAAAATGAAGAATAGTGTAATTTGAATGCAAGAGCCAGCTTCATCAGTGAAAGCCTTTTTTCAATAGCACAACCTCTTCACTTAAATGTTCTCCATACAGATCTCTTCCAATGACCTCAAACAAAAATTAGCTTGTCAGTATCTTATCTCACAATTACCTGACCTACTAATATTGCCTAAACCAAAGCTTTAATAAAAAAATAGCAAAAATGCCTCATTTACCTGTCACATTCTAAGCCTAATTCAAATATGCATTTTTCCAACTCTTTTATACTCCGCTTTTTCTTCAGATGTATAGATGTACAACATCCGTATTTCTGAAAAGACTTCAATTGCAAGCCTTATTCTGCTTAATGACATCAGTTTTACTGATCTGAGCGCTCTTCTTCAGAAAACGGGAAAAAAGAGGGCAAGCATGCAGGCCGCTAGCAGGAAACGCGCCACAAACACTCACCATCGATCTTTTGCATGCAAAAAACGTCATTTGCAAACTTCTACAGTGTCCTTCCCTCAAGCACTGCTTCGGGCTTTTATTTTCCTGTGAGACGAAAAACAAAGGATTACACACTTAAACGGATCGCAGAAGCTTCTCAATAAGACATCGAACTACTTCACATGAGGTTTACTCGGGATTTTGTCATGGTACGGTGACTCGCGCCTTCTTCTAAAGTCGCCATTTCTTAACTTTCTTAAAACCCAAATTAAGGGGTTTGACAGAGACCTCGGGGAAGGACCCTGAGCGGGCCTCGGGGCACCCTAAGCCCAGGGAGGCGACTGAAGCACCAGCAGCAGGACCGCGAGCCCTATCCCGGGAGAGCGGCAGCGCTCACCTGCAGGACGCAGGGGCTCTCCAGCAGACACTGCCGCAGGTCCTCCCTCACTCCCCCGCAGGCCTGTCCGTCCTCCTCTTTATCCTCATAGTACTTAGGCATGGTGGAAAAACAGGCTCTATAGCTCGCTGCGGCCTACCCAGGCATCACTACCAGCACCGGCCGCCATGCCGGGCGCCCTTAGCCCTATCCCTCTTCCGGCGGTAGAAAGGAAGAGGCGGGGTGGATCCCGGAAGCAAACCGGGGCGCTTGCGTCACCGACGTTACCGGAAGGCTGCTGGTGCGGGGGGTGGTAGCGGCCCCACCACCGGGTGAAGCGGGGGTCGCGCTGCGGCAGCAGGTGAGGTCCCATCCCCTTGCCGGTTGCTGAGGGACGAGCGGCGCGGTGGTGCGAGCCCGGCTGCTGGCGGGGAATGAGGGCTCTCGGTGCTTCCCACCCGGCGCTGAGATGCGGGTCCCGCTGAGAGGGCGGCGGCTGTCGCTTGTGGGGCGGTCACGGATGTCACTTGGGCGATGCTGGGCTGGTGTGGGCTGAACTACGGACGGAGAGACCGGTAATCGTACCTTTGCCCCTGGCTGCGCTCTCCGGCCTTTCGCCTGCTGTAGAGCCTGTCGGCCTTGACTCGCTTTTGCGATGGGGCCGCAGGGTCGGGGCCGCCTGGCAGGCGGTGCTGAAGCGGAGGTGCCTGCTCCACCTTTCCCGCTTACTGCCCTCCCCAGCAGTCCGCAAAGGCACTGTCAGGACATGGCGGGCTCGCCTGTGACTGTCACAGTTCATACTTGTGCGTAGCATTTGTAACTTACGTGGCGTGAATGGCCTGGTCGTGGCTTTAGTCCTCATTATGTGCTAAGCCGAATGCATCTTTTGAAATTGCTTCTTCAGCGAAATGCTGCCAACTACTTCAGTTAGTTCCCGGAGCCAGGGCAATGGTGTGCTGAGCCCCAGGGATGCTGCAAGGCATACAGCCGGAGCCAAGCGCTACAAGTACCTGCGGAGGCTCTTCCACTTCCGACAAATGGACTTCGAGTTTGCTCTTTGGCAGATGCTTTACCTGTTTACTTCACCACAGAGGGTTTATAGGAACTTTCACTACAGAAAACAGACAAAGGACCAATGGGCAAGAGATGATCCTGCTTTCTTAGTGCTTCTCAGTATCTGGCTCTGCGGTGAGTGCAAGGGAATTGCATGAAAGAGAGTCAGGGAAAGTTTAGGAATATACATTTGTGGCCCTTCTAATAACACACACACAAAAGGACCAACCTGTATGGATTATCCTTTAATCAAAGTTGAACAGAAAAAAATGACCGAACCATTTGGAAGTTAAAGTGGGAATTAGAAAATGGAGGAGACAACTAATACTATCTAGTCTTGAATTATTCTCTCTATTGCAACTCATTTCCTATTGCATTTCAAACTATATATAATTCCCTGTAACTTTACAGACAGTAATAATATGCCATGCCATACAGCAATGTTTTACTTAAAAAAATACGAACACTTGGTTTATCTGAACATCACAGATAAAATGCTATTTTTGCAGTGAAAGCCTTAGTGAGATTCTGCATATTGCAGAATTAAGGTATAAACAAAGCCTCTTGTGTAGTTTTGAGACTGAACTGCAAATATAAGTCTTACCCTATTCATCTTCTGTTACATAGCACGTTGCTTTTAGTAATTCCAAAACCGTTAATTCTAAAGTGAAAGTATGTATCACCACACACATGGTTTGGGTTAACAAGGAGCTTTTATGAACCAAAGTATATTCTATTGTAGTTTTGTGTGGCTTTTTTTTTTAAAGGAGTTTGTGTGGAGCAATAGTATTTGCTGTTACGTTGTTAAGCCCAAGTACAGATGAGTGTTCTCCAATTTGTGAAAGGGATTATATTATGAATAAATAGCTTTATGCTTAGTTTTGGGTGGGAAAAAAATTAGTTGTGGGACTGAAAATCTCGGGGAGCAAAATAAGAATGAAACTGGATGTTTTGTAACAGTATAATCAAAAAGATATAGTGGTATAAGATCTCATGCTTTCTTGTCCACAGCTAATTTAAATAACCTCATTCTCCTTTCAGTGTCTACTGTAGGATTTGGATTTGTGCTGGACATGGGCTTTTTTGAAACAATAAAGCTGCTACTTTGGGTTGTATTCATCGATTGTGTAGGTGTTGGCCTCCTGATTGCAACTCTGATGTGGTAAGTAGTGAGGGCTGAAACCTAGTTCAGTATTGCTGATCCGATAAGGATCATCCTCTGCTGTTTGCATGACACTTGGTTCTTTGGGGCAATATCATAAAGTGTGTATTGACTGTAGATTGGTTTGTGCTGACATGGTAATTGTTTCAAAATGTTGCTTTAAAAAAGGATGCATTTTTTTTTTTACCATTATTTCCTGCTCAGAAAGTTTGTATTATGAGAAACATTTTGACTTGTTTTCTTTCTTTCTGTGCTGGTTAATCTTCAGCAGTAATGCCAGATCAAGACTGTGGTGATCAAAACCAATATTACTTCATTTCTTATTTTGATTCAACAGCTTAGGTAATGTAAGCCTAAGGATGACTGTATTTAAGTAGGGCAATATACAATTGGCTCATGCTTATTGCTGAAGATTTTAGCTATTTCCACTATAAGCAATGTTGGTTCTATTTTGTGTATGTTTGCTGTTTGCTGCCTGCTGCCAGTTTTAGCCTGTAATGTCCAGAGACTTTAAGAAGGGGAGAGCAGTAGGGAGTAAGTTTACAACCTGGGTCTCAGCACATCATAGATGTGTCCCACACCTTCAAGGGAGCCATGAAACAGTGGGAAGTCACTGTTTCTGGGCTGTGGGAAGGGGAGGGGAACAAAGAAAACATTTTTATTTTACCAAGAACATAAGGAAGTAAGAGCCCTTAAAGTTGAGTTCTTGGAAACAGAGCTGACATCTTAAACCAATACCGCTCAGAAAAGGGAGATTCCTTTCAAACAATAGGAACTCCCATTTTCAACTGCAAAATTCAGGATGAAGCACATACCAGAACTGTAGCTGACAGATGAAAGGTACCTCTGCTGTCTGGCCCAGTAACCCATAAATTGCTTGGAGAAGAGCACAGAGTAATTCTTCCCTGCATCCTCCAGTGATTTGTGCCTCTGGATTCAGTCTCCTGAGCTAGAAAGACAGTTTTTCTCTGTCCCTTAGTCAGCTTCCTGCAGGCCTTGCTGCCCATCACCTGGCTCCAGTTCGGTTCAGGTCCCTTCTTCCAGTGCAGGATCACTTTCTTTTCAAAAGCTCCCCCCGTTCCTAGTGAGTCTGAACCCCTTCTTGTTTCCTCCACCTTGCACCCATGTTCTGCCTTCTTCTGACCCTGCCCTTAGCATAGAAAGTACATCAGAGGAAGCTACCACAAAAACTCTGGTCTCTTATTTCTGAGCATGGATTGACTTCTTGTTCCTCTTATAAATGGGATACATTTTCTGATGTCAGCAGAACTTCAGCTGGAGAAAACAGTCTTGAGGCTTGTTCCTCAGCCTGTCACACCAGGCAGTGCACATTCTGTTAGTACGTGTCTTCAAAAATAAGAATGGGCTCACCTTAAGCCTGTTATCCTTGCCCTCTTTCTGTGCTTGCAGTGCAGTGGTTCTGTGAAGATGAGTTAAGCCATCCCTATAGGAGGTGTGTTGATTGTGTAGGGGCACTTCTCTGAAGTCACCTCCTGTGTGTACAACCCAAAGAACTTATTACTGCAGTGATAAATTGTAGCACTGATCTGTTTAAAACAAAGCTTTGTTTCTGTATTACAGGAATGTCTCAGCTGCCTCTTGAATGCAAGGGATTCAATTATAGTTTTAACAAAAAACATTTTGGCAATAACCTGGCCTCGTAATTCTTGTGTGTTTTCTCCCAGATAGTGGAAACTTTGTTAGGGTAGAGCTAGGATCACACCTGTCTTACTGTCTCAAACCAATGCTTTGTCAGTCAGCTCTACAGTCATATTAACAACATTCTCAATTGTCTTCTCATATAGGTTCATTTCTAATAAGTATTTGGTGAAGCAGCAAAACAGAGACTATGATGTGGAGTGGGGATATGCCTTTGATGTTCATCTGAATGCTTTCTATCCACTTCTAGTCATTTTGCATTTTATCCAGTTGTTTTTCATCAACTGTAAGTAGAATAGTTTGGGTTCTTAGCTTCAGAATCGCGCTGTGTCACAATAGCTGAGAGCAGTTGTCTCTTCCAGATATCATCATATCTGATTCTGTCATTGGCTATTTTGTTGGGAATACATTATGGCTGATTGCAATTGGCTACTACATCTATGTGACATTCCTAGGATACAGTGGTGAGTAATGGCAGCCTCTTTTCTATTTGACTAAAAACAAGAGCGTAATTTCAGCATATTAATTTGTAAATTAATACAAGAGACTCAGCTGAGTGTTGAAGTAATCTTATCTCCGTAGTGAAAGAAGTCTGATAGAAATTTACCAATCCTTGCCCAGCTGTGTGGATATCTTAACTGAAAAATTATATTCTTCACCATACAAGCTTCCTGCCCCATATTAGCTCTGTAGGACCACAGGGCTTGTAAAACTTGGATTTACACAGGAACTAGAAAAACAAATTGAAACATTTGCATTGGATAAAAATTCTGTACCGAGTTGAAGACAAAACATCTCCCAGGGTGTTAACTCCCCCAGTTACCTCAAGTCCTCTCTGATCTGCGATGGTGGTAGGACTAGTAGGGCAGAGATGACAGCAGAAGTTGGGCAGAGTAGCACTGTTTTTTTCTTAGTCTTCCTCCATGGCCATCCTACATGAAGAACTTTCTTGAAAAGGGCACTGCTTCATATTTGCTTTGGTTTTGTTTCTGTTTCAGCATTGCCCTTTTTGAAGAACACAGCTATTCTTTTGTATCCGTTCGCCCTTCTCATCCTGCTCTACTTGATCTCCTTGGCATGTGGATGGAACTTCACCAAAATGCTTTGTTCCTTCTATAAGTACAGAGTGAAATAAAACCAGGACTTTACGTATCTAATGTTTATTTTGATTTTATCTGAGCTGTCTTGACAGTAAAGAAAAGAGCATTTTGTAAATTGTTGTAAATTTCTCTTTATTGTAGATAATTGTGTAAAAAAGTTTGAAGTGTCCTTTTTTTTATTAAAATATTTACAACAGTAAACATGTTAGCAATTTTGTTCAAATACTTTTGTAGTACATTCCTAAAACAGCGTTACTTG